TAGAGAGAGAGAGAGAGATTTGCCTGCGGTACCTGTCACGGACCTCGCCGTCCCTGGGGGGGCTGCGATCTGCGACACTGTCGCCACTTTCGAGGGTTGCTGGTGGGTCCAGCGGAGGGAGGCACCGCGCAGACCTGAGAGGCACCTCGCCGTCCCTAGGCGGCTGCGATCTGCGACACTGTCGCCACCCTCCAGGGCTGGTGGGTCCAGCGGGGTGAGGCACCGCGCAGACCTGAGCAGCACCTCCACCTCGACTTCCGTGGGGGGCTGCGATCTGCGACCCTGTGGGGTTGCGATCTGCGACAGTGCCGCCACTTTCGAGGGCCGCTGGTGGGTCCAGCGGAGTGAGGCACCGCGCAGACCTGAGCGGCACCTCGCCGTCCCTGGGGGGCTGCGATCTGCGAAACTGTCGCCACCCTGGAGGGCTATTGGTGGGTCCAGCGGAGAGAGGCACCGCGCAGACCTGCGCGGCTGCGATCTGCGACACGATAGCAACTTTCGAAGGCTGTTGTTGGATCCAGCGGAGTGAGGCACCGCGCAGACCTGAGCGGCACCTCGCCGTCCCTGGGGGGCTGCGATCTGCGACACTGTCGCCACTTTCGAAGGCTGCTGGTGGGTCCAGCGGAGAGAGGCACCGCGCAGAACTGAGCGGCACCTCGCCGTCCCTGGGGGGCGGAGGTGGATCTGCGACAGTGTCGCCACTTTCGATGGGCTACTGGTGGGTCCAGTGGAGTGAGGCACCTCGCAGAAATGAGCGGGACCTCGCCGTCCCTGGGGGGGCTGCGATCTGCGACATTGTCGCCACTTTCGAGAGCTGCTGGTGGGTCCAGCGGAGTGAGGCACCGCGCAGACCTGAGCGGCACATCGCCGTCCCTGTGGGGTTGCGATCTGCGACGCTGTCGCCACTTTCGAAGGCTGCTGGTGGGTCCAGCGGTGTGAGGCACCGCGCAGACCTTGCCCCGTCGCAGATCCAGCGTAGACCTCTCCATCCAGGGGAGACGGGCTGCGATATGCGAAACTGTCGGTGGGTCCATGGAAATTTGCGGAGGGCCAGCCTAGCGGCACCCCGCCGCGGGTTCAAAAAATGCGTCGTCGCGTGGGAATGTTAGTTCGGGGGAGCCATGTCATGTCGTTGCTGCCCCGCCGACGTTTCAAGCCAGTTGCCCACTTTGTCCGTTTGGACCTTGCCTGAATGACTCAGGGGTTCCCTTGGTTACTCATCTCTACCACGCTGTTCCCCTTGATCGGGGACCTGCGAACCTCCCGAAGTATATGCGTCCATGTCACGTCGACGCCCTCTCATCAAATCTCCCAAGCTACTCGTGCCCTGCACTGCGCAGGGGTTGGGTACGTCGCCAGGGTAATGTTTACAGGGGCGGCGGAGTGTCAGCATATTCCCTGCTGCGCGCAGGGCTACCATCCCTGACAAAAAAATACAAAATGCACATCGCGGCTAAATATGGATCGTGCGCGGCCACCCCGCGATCACTGTCAAGTGGTTGTTGACAGGGACGGCGGGGGTGGTGGCGCGTGGCCCGCTGTGCGAAGGCCCACCCGACACAATGATGGGCAGCGGTGTTCAGCAAGGATGGTGGGGGGCGGCATGTTTTCCGATGTGTGCTGTCAAGTGCGCAGGCGCACCTGACGCACTCTGTACGTGCCCCGAACGTGGCGCACCTGGCGCGGGTGGAGTGTGCGGCACACCTGGCGCACTCGGAGCACGTGGTGCAACTGGCGCACCAGGCGTGCCTGGCACGCTCGGGCCCCAGGGGTGCCTGGCGAGCGTGGCGCCCCTGGCACGCGAGGCGCACATCGCCCAAGCGTCGCGCACCTGGGGTCGGCTTTGGTCCCCAGTAGCTGTCCATCCAACGCTCGGGCCCCAGGGGTGCCTGGCGCGCGTGGCGCCCCTGGCACGCATGGCGCACCTCGCCCAAGCGTCGCGCACCTGGGGTCGGCTTTGGTCCCCAGTAGCTGTCCATCCAAAGACGACCGCTGAACATGCTCAGGCTCGGGTGATCCTGATGTGTTGGGAGGGCGGGTGGGACTGAGCTAGACGGCTTGCGGGTGGGTGGGTAGCTTGACCCTTCCCCTACCCCCTCCCCTGGACCTGGACGGGGGGCCGCGAGGCGTTGGAGCGTCCAAGATTGCCCAAGACGGCTCCAAGAGGGCCCCTGACGGTCAAAGATGAGCTCCAAGATGGCTCAAGATAGCGCACAATGCATCAAGATGGCTCCCAAGATGCTCCAAGAGGCCCCAAGAACGTTCCAAGACGGCTCCACGAGGCGTCCGAGACATCCAAGGAGGCCCCCAAGAAGACAAAATACTTCAAAAACCTAAGGATCATCATTGATGTTTGCTTTCTCGCCTTTTCGCTTCCGATGGCCATCCGAGGCCTCAAGATGGCTCCAAGATGGCACAAGAGAGCCCCAGGAGAGGCCCAAGAGAGCCCCAAGACGGCCCCAGGGCGCCCAAGGGTGCCTCAAGAGCGCTCCAAGAGGGGTCCAGGAGGCGATGTTCGGTGCTCCCGAGGGGGGAGAGTAATTGGAGCTCTCCTAATTTTTGATCGATGTCCTCCAAGATGGCCCCGAGAGCGCCCCTGCAGCTCCCAAGAGCGCGCCTAAGAGGGCCCCAAAGGTGCCCAGACGGCCCCAAGATGCCTCCAAGAGGCTCCCAAGAGACCCCATACGAGACCTCAAGAGGATCCCCGAGGTACCAAACTATCCCTCCTTCTCCTCCTCCTCGTCCTCCTCGTCATCGCCCGACTCCACCTCCTCCTCCTCATCCTCCTCATCCTCCTCCTCCTCCTCCTCCTCCACCTCCTCCTCCTCCTCATCTTCCTCCTCCTGCGACAACGACGACGACGACGACGACATCCTCCCCCTCTGGGGGTATATAACGACTTCCCCCGCCCTTTGTTCTTCTGCATGCTCCCCCACTTCCCTGATCACCTCAACTCAACTCCCCTGGGCATCGTTTCTGGATGGGCCGGTGGGGGTACGCGAAGCGTCAACAATTTTCGAACGAGTCCTCCAGAAATCTGAGGAAATCTGTGGGATCTTCTGTGGAATCATGACGAGTCCACATGGGATCACGAGGGATCCTTATGAAATTCTGTATTAATCGTGCACGTTTCGCGAATGACTCCGCTCTCCAGCAACCCGAAACGCCACCAATCGCGGAGGCAGGAGGAAAAAAAGGGAGGGGGGAAAGTGGGAAGAGGGACGAGGATGAAGCGGCGGAAGCTGGATCAAGTTGGCGCGTGAGCGGCAAGGTGGCGTGTACCGAGCGAGGCACATCAGAGGCGCAGCTCGCGCTGCGGCACAGTGAGACGCGAGCCCGCAGTGCGATTCAAGACTGCTGCGTCCTGCTCGAAGCAAAGGCCCGCCCCCCACCCCGGCTCGCCTGAAAAGGCTGGGATCGAACTCGGAGACCATGTGCCCTGACGGCCCGCGGCTAGCTGGCGCCGCCGCGGGCTCTCCGGACTGAAGCCAAGGCTGGAGGGGCGGAGGCGCCTGCAGCACTCAGGCTTCAACTCCGAGCAGAACTGGCATGCTCCGCACGAACACGTGAAGCAATGAGCCCAGAGATTACGAACATGACAGATATGAAGGCAAACATGCCGATAGTGGTGATCGCCTCCTCCTCCTCCTCCTTCTCCTCCTCCTTCTCCTCCTCCTCCTCCTCCTCCTCCTCCAGCTCATGCTCGTCTTCCTCCTTTCCTCCTCCTCCTCCTCCTCCTCCTCCTCCTCCTCCTCCTCCTCCTCCTCCTCCTCCTCCTCCTCCTCTTCCTCCAGCTCATGCTCGTCTTCTTCCTCCTCTTCCTTCTCCTCCTTCTCCTCTTCCTCCTCCTTGACCTCCTCCTCCTCCTCCTCCTCCTCCTCCTCCTCCTCCTCCCTCCTCCTCCCCTCCTCCTCCTCCTCCTCCTCTCCTCCTCCTCCTCCTTCCTCCTCCTCCTCCTCCTCCTCCTCCTCCTCCTCCTCCCACTGATCATTTTCCTTATCGTCTTCTGCTTGCGCTCGTGCCTTGCTTCTATCCACAGGCCCTCGCGAGCCGGTCGAGCAGCTTTCAGGGGTGCTGAGCATCAAACACGGAGCCCACCAGGGGCACCCGTGCACGCGTGAGAGTCCAAAGGATTCTGGGCGCCAGCGGGATGAGAGTGACCGGGGACAGGGGAGGGCCCGTCCGCGGCGCCGGAGGCGCCGTCAGGAGGCCCAAGCGCCGATCCGAGAAATCCGAGCGGGCCTCCGAGTTTGTATGTTTATGTCATTATTCGTTCCCCTAGGTAGGGAGGGGGGAAGGCTTCTTAGAAGCTCCCCTGCTTCTTAGAAGGCGCGGGCTTCGTCTGTAGTTCTTGTGTTTATGTCAGTCTTCGTTCCCTCAAGGGCAGGGGGAGCCCGTCCCCCCTTCACCAGACAAGGGCGCTCCACTACTCGCAGAGTGACTACTCACAAAAATGGCCTGGATCCGCCGCGCGGGACTCACAATCCAGCCCATTAGGCACATTGCAAGTAGCAGAACGCGCTCGGTGATTCCCTGGGGCGGCGGGGTCGAGGAGAGGTCACTGTCACAGACGATAGGGGGGAGGGCAGGAGGCGCCGGGGGGGGGCCGAATATGGAGTGGGCAGGACGGCTGCTCGGCATAAGGTGCTGGCGAAAGCCGCTCTGACTATGGCCTGGAGGCGGGACCTGCTCGGCCCGCCCGTCCCTGGGGGCCCAGCGCGGATCCGAGAAATCCGCGCGGACCTCCGAGAGTTTTTACGTTTATGCTGCTGCCCCTGGCGTTGCCCCTCGTCCCCGGGCCTCTCGCCTAGGGCCAAGGGGGGGTCGTTCTCTTGGCGGCCCAACGTCGACGGCGCGGCGCGCCGCAGGACCCCCTCCCCCCAGCCCCCCCCCTCGGCGGGCGAGGGGCAGCGCCCCTCGAGGACGTTTCCACCGCCGCTGGTCGTCGCCAGTCGTCGTCGTCGGTCGTCGTTGTCGTTTGGTCGTCGGTCGTCGTTGTCGTTTGGTCGTCGTCGTGCCCCCTCCTGCGCGCGGCCGACGTCCGCCCCGCGCAGCTCCGCTCTGCGAGGCGTGCCCCGGCACGCCCCCCGCTGCCGAGGCGGAGCGCTCCCCTGGGCGCCGCGGGCCTGCCGATTGCCTACGGGCCACCCAGCGGCGCGCACTGCGCCCCGCGGTGCGCGAGGCGCGCGAAGGAGGAGGACGACAAGGAGGAGGAGGAGGAGGAGGAGGAGGACGAGGGGGAGGAGGAGGAGGAGGAGGGAGGAGGAGGAGGAGGAGGAGGAGGAGGAGGAGGAGAACGACGACGAGGAGGAGGTGAGGACGAGGAGGAGGAGGAGGAGAGGAGGAGGAGGAGGAGGAGGAGGAGGCCGAGGAGGAGGAAGACGAGGACGAGGACAAGGACGAGGAGAAGGAAGACGAGGAGGACGAGGACGACGAGGAGGAGGAGGAGGAGGAGGAGGAGGAGGAGGGGGAGGAGGAGAAAGAGGAGGAGGAGGAGGAGGCAGAACGGGAGGAGGTTGCGGGAGAAGGAAGAGGACGAGGAAGGAAAACCGCTCTGGCCCAGACCGCGTCGCGCGGGGCGCGATGCTGTCGGCGCCCCGGCGGGCGACCAAATTACGTGACATGCTCGGCGCAGCGCGCGGCCCACCACCAGTCGCGCAGCTCCAGCCGCGCACCCGCCAAGACGAAAGAGAAACGCCCCGCCCACGCGGCATCTCGCCACGCGTCAGGCACGCCCCGCGCAGCGACGCAAGGGCTCTCGGCGAGCACGGCCCGCGCTGGAGAAGGCGATTCGTCCCGCTGCCAGCTCAGCTATTTGTCCTCGGCGAAATGTTGGGGCTTCGAGTACATGCAAATACGTGTGCGTATAGAGATGGACACGTATATACACGTATATGCATATACACACAAACCTACGTATAGCAATATCCTTGCCAACCGGCTCCACCATGACAAGTGATGAAATAATAGCCAGGTGCCTGTCCAGCAAGGAGAACATGGCACTTGCTTCCCTCGAAGAGCTGGGCATTTTCATTGCTTTTTCGTTTCCCCCGAGGTTACATCACGTGTCACGGCCCTCACCAGCCCCCTTGAAAATTGCGTTTCCCAAACTTCTAGCACTGGGCACTCGACACGCTGGCGGACCTGACCTCTGAGAACTCAACATCGTACGGCAGAGTCACGAACTCCACCGCGGATGTAGCACCAGGAAGCTCCAAAACCTCCATCCTGCCTGAGCATATTCTAACGCCCCACCTGGACTGGCAGAGTCTATTTGGCGTTGTCAACCCACGCTTCATGTGAACGGAGGTTAATGCCCAGAGGGTCGAACCTACCGTACGGTCCGTTGGTAGAAGACGATAAGGAGAAAAGAGGAGGATCTTGCATCATCGCGCCCGATGAGATGCGGCCGCAGAAGTATCCAATATGATGTTCAATACCTGAGCCGAGACGATAGCAGGATAGATGGATAGAAAGAAGAGAGGAGCGATCTTCACACAGGCTTGACGGTCGGTACGGCCTCAGCCGCGTCTGTCTAAAACCCACGGTCCGAGGTCTGGCGACGGGCACTGCGCACAGAAGCGGTAGAAGCACGGTGTCCTCGGCCACTTCACGCCGCGGCGGCTGCTCACGGCGGCTGCCTCCGTTTGCGGTGCTGTCGGCTTCCTCAGCATTGCCAGCCCTGCAAGTATTGGAGAACACTCTGGGCCTCGATCTGCTTCGCGGAGGTCGAGGAGGGCAAGCCACTCGACGGCCCAGGCATTTTGAAGACTTTGTACACACCGACGTCAGCTGGACCAGCGCATGCGACACCTGCATAGACAGTGGACGCGTGCTTCGTGTCCTGAATGTCGAAGACCGTCTTCCCCTCAGCCCGTACCTCTTCGCCCGGCCCAGAGCGACGCGTGCGGCGAGTGTCGCGACCTGTGCGGTGGCCAGGAACGCAGCCACTGGCACGACGGCGGCACATCCAGCGCCTCGCGCGGCAGGGACGCGGCCTGCCTCTGAAGACCAGACCACCAGAGCTGCCAGCGCCCACAGCGCGCGCTATGCCTCCAGGAGCCCCAAGAAGGACTGGCGCGGACACAGCAGAGGCTGCAGCCTGGATGGGTCGCCGCGCCTCCAGCCAGCATCACCACCGGCACTCCCCCCCCACCCGCACGGACCCGCCAGGCTCCCGAACCGCGCAAGCTCGTTCGCCGCGGGCTCTCGCCGAACACGGTACGCGTCCCGCGGCGCTCCCAGCAGTGGCGCCCGCAGCACCGCCGAGGCCCGCATCGCCGCTCTGTTTCTCAATGTTCAACATTTCTGGCCGCGTCTGGCGTCGCAATCGCGAGGAAGCTAGAATTCATCTGCCGAAGGAAAACCGCCGAAGCGCCTGAGACCACATGTTCCTTGGCTGGTCGATAAAACCTGCTCCACAACTGCTTGCGCGCGAGGCCCTCCAAAGTCCAAACCAAGAGTGATCAAATTCAATGACACCAAATACGCAAAGCCGCGTGCCAAATAAAGGGAAGCCAAGCTTACCTCCATCACAGAAGGCTGGAACTCTGGCTTAGGCCAGGTTAGAGGAACTAGCGGTGGTACGATCTACTTCTCATTACTGCCAAGCCGAGCTCGGTGGCACAGTGGACATGCCATGTAGCATCGGAAGTGCAAGACGGCGCTTCGCAAACTCCAACTTCCACAACACAATCAGTCGCCGATCGCGACACGTACTCCAACGAGAAACTGTCGCCCATATGGACCCGCTGACGTCTGCTGCACACACATCTGAACGAAATTCGTCAACCCAACTGGCCAGAGCCGTGCTAAGATCTCCAAAAACAGGTAACCATATTTCTAGCTCGCTCGCGCGGGGCTGCCCCTGGAGGTTCCTGGGCGAAAAATACCCCAGGAAGGTCCCACCAAAGATGCCCGACCTCCCGAGGGGCAGTGTTATGGGCCCTCCAGAGCTCTCCTGGAGCGCCCCAAGGAACTCCAAGGGAGCTCCCAGACGGCCCAAGAGTCGGGATCAGTGTGTAGCAGGTCCCAAGATTGCCCAAAGACGGCCCCAAGAGGCTTCAAATTAGACCCAAGATGCTCCAAGAAAAGTCCATGAGGGCCCCCAGAGGCTCGATTTCAATCGTTTTCCTATGGCTTTTGAAGGATTTGGGCATTACCACCGGTTCGGGCTTCCGACGGCCCCAAAGGTCGCCCCAAGACAGCCCAAGAGGCTCCCAGGACAGCCCCAAGACGGCCCAAAAGGGCCCCAAGACAGTTGAAGAGGCCCCGAGGGCTCCTGAGGGGAATCCGAATTGCCATCTGAAGCCCTTTCCCCCGAAGATGCCCCCGAGACCGCCAGCAAGCCCCCAAGGGCCCCCAAAGGCCCCCAGAGGCCCCCATGACACCCCAAGAGGCCGTACAGGCCTCTAAGGGGTCCCAAAATGCCGCCACGAGGCACCCGAGATTCCTCCCAAGAGGCCCAACAAGTCTCCCAGCAAGGACTCTTGTCCACGACCCCGTCTGCCCGAAAACCATTCAATACTACATGCAGTATGGGCAGGCGGAATGAGCGTAGCGATTAGATTCGGCGGGCCCCCTGCGGGCGCTCGCCGTGTTCGCCGTCGAGGATAAATGATGAGATGGAGGAGGAGGGAGGAGAGGGAGCACACTCCTCATGAATTTCCTGCCCTACACTCTACTGGGACACGTGAGAATGCGAGTTAGCTGCTCCATCAGGCACCTGGGACACGTAACAAACTAGTGATTTCCCCATGGATCCCCAAAAGGCCGTCCGACCCTCACGGAACGCCACCATTGTCCCAAGAAACATGGCAACGGTTGGTACCAACAATCGTCGGAGCAATATCCCAAACACCTAATGGTTGCAACATCTGCGTGCAAGCTTCCCCTGGGGGCCCGCCGTGACTCCCGCTCTGCGGGCTCAATAATGCTTGAAGTCACCATGCAAAAACTACGATCATGTGCAGCCTAGGTCATCATATGGTTATCTATAGGTACCCACTTGCGCAGGAAAAAACATAACCCATAATACTACATGGCATCACATGATGTTGAGAATAACGACGCTGGTTGCAACACGAAATAGTAACAAGACTACATGGATCAAGATCCACTGCATTCCTGATACGTTTGCTAAAATGCTGTGCAGCCTTGACTTGCGAAACGCTCGAGATATCCAGTGGGCGACTACGAGCGCTCGCGGACAGGCGTACCGCTGCCGCCGAACTCGGCGGCGGGATCCTACTCGCAAGACTGAGCCTGAGCTCGAAAGACATCACGCCGAGCCCCCTGGAAGAAGGACTACCTGGGCGGTCTGGGAATCAGGATTACCTTAGCGTTAGGTCGGGCATGTCCTCCTACAGACGGATTTTGGACGACAAATTAAAAATACTCAAAAAGTAATCCTAAATAGTAAAACATAGATTGTCAAAATCGTCCCCAGACTGTTTCTGTATATCTTTCCACATTCCCCCTGTAGAGGGACATGCCCGCCTTAACCTTAGCGGTCTTGGGGTTACAGCTCAATGCACTTCCATGAACCAGCGATGCGAGCACAGCCCCAGGCACTCCGCGTAGAGGGCGCTGTCTCTAACGTGCTTACAGCTGGCCGCTCCCGCGGAGCGAACGACCACCGTCGGGAAATCCGACCGGCCCTCGAGGCGCGAGCGGTTTAGAGAGCTTCCTCGTCCAACCCCCTCCTCCTCCTCCACCTCCCCCTGTCCTCCTCCTCCTCCTCCTCCTCCGCCTCCTCCTCCTCCTCCTCCTCCTCCTCCTCCTCCTCCTCCTCCTCCTACTCCTGTCCTCCTCCTGCTTTTTCCGTTCTCGGCGGCGAGCCCGGGGGGGAAGCGAGAGGGGGCGGACCTTTTCAGGAGGCTCGGAAGTCCCGAAGCCTTCTGGAAAGTGTCCTGAGCATTCCCCACAGACACAGGACACTTCTCAGAGGGCGCGAGGGCTTCTGAGAAGCCCCGCCGCCTTCTCCTTCTCACTCCCCCCCTCGCTCGCCCCCGACCTTCGGGGAGGGGGCTACCCCTCCCCCCTCACCCCCTTCGCCTGGACCTGGAGGAGGGCTCGCGGGTCGGTAGAGCGTCCAAGGTAGACTCGGCGAGAAGGCCAGCATCATTGATGTTACCACGGTTGGGGCCATAATTTGCCCTCCTGGGGGGGGACTCTAATTTAGTACGGCCTGGCCTTTGATCGATCTCCTCCAAGATGGCCGAAAGATGGCCCCAAGATGGTCCCCGAGGCTCCCATGATGGCCCCAAGACGGCCCCAAGACGCGCACCAGAGGCCCCAAACGGCCCTTAAGAGGGCTCCCACGAGAACGCCAAGAGTCCCCACAATCTCCAAAGTCGCTCCAACAGGCCTCGGCGAGAAAGCCAAAGTCCTTTGATTAACAAAGGTTTGGGCTAGAACCCCCTCATTCAACAGCTCTCATCCAGGATGGCCCTAAGATGGCCCCCAAGGCTCCCAAGGGGCTCCAAGAAGCCCCCACCCAGACACACCCAAGACGCCCCGAGAGGCATCGGCGAGAGGGCAACATGAATGTCGTTACTACATCCCCAGGCCGAAAGTTTTTTACTAAACATATGAGAACATCAACGGATCCAATTGGATCCCTTTTCGGGTGTGGGAGTTTCGTGGATCCTATTTCTGTGCTGCGCGGATCCAGTTACCTGTGTGTGAAAAAAACAATGAATCCATTTATTTCCCGGGAACAAATATACAATAAAAACTAGCATCCGGGACCCAGGGGAGATGGGATCCGCGGAGCACCGCAAGTGAAGCATCATGCTATCCACGGAGCTGTGGATCTGCAGACCAATGCTATGATTCTACGGGGGAGGGGGGTCTTCCCAGGATGAAGAGAGGAAGGATGAAGGAAGAGGCAAGAGGAGGTGGGAGGAGAACAGAGGGGATCGGCGCGTCGCTTCCGACATGTGGGGCTCAAGAGGAAAATCTGTCGGCCTGCGTAAGTAAGGTTTTGGCCACATGTTGGCATCCTGGGCGGGTGGCTAATCTATTACGGCCCGTAATTTGATCGATCCCCTCCAAGATGGCCCAAAATGGCCCCAGAGGCTCCCAAGATGGCCCCAAGACGGCCCAGACACGCGCAGAAGAGGCCCCAAACGGCTCCCAAAGATGCCCCCAGGAGACTCCCAAGAGACCCCCAAGAGGCCCCAAAGGGCCCCCCAGAGGCCCAAAGAAACCTCCAAGACGCCCCACCAGGACTACAAGAAGGTCACCGAAAGGCATCCCAAGAAACTCCAAGAGACAACATGAGGCTTCTAACCTTTCCGCTCGCCCTCCTCATCCTCCTCCTCGTCCGCCTCCTCCTCCTCCTCCTCCTCCTCCTCCTCCTCGTCATCATCATCATCATCATCAGCAGCAGCATCATCGTCATCATCATCAGCAGCAGCTGCATCAGCATCAGCATCAGCAACAGCATCAGCATCATCATCAACAGCATCATCAGCAGCAACATCGTCAGCATCATCATCGTCATCATAATCAGCATCATCATCATCATCATCATCATCATCATCATCATCATCATCATCATCATCATAATCATCATCATCATCATCAGCATCATCATCGTCATCATCATCGTCATCGTCATCATCATCATCATCATCATCATCATCATCATCATCATCATCATCATCATCAGCGTCATCAGCATCAGCATCATCGTCATCATCATCATCATCAACATCAGTATCAGAAGCAGCATCATCATAGTCATCAGCACCATCAGCATCATCATCATCATCGTCGTCATCCTCAGCATAAGCATCATCATCATCATCAGCAGCAGAAGCATCAGCATCATCGTCACCGTGGTCGTCAGCATCATCAGCAGCCGCATCACCCTCAGCATCTGCATCAACATCAGCATCATCATCATCAGAATCACCATCAAAATCACCACCACCAAAATCATCAACATCATCATCAGCTTCAGCAGCATCATCATCATGAGCATCATCATCGTCATCATCATCCTCGGCGTAAGCATCGCAATCAGCATCAGCATCAGCAACATCAGCACCATCATCAGCATCATCATCGTCATCATCATCATCAGCATCATCATCAACCGCATCATCATCAGCAGCAACGTCGTCAGCAGCATCATCAGCAACCTCGTCATCATCATCAGCTTGTTCATCATCATCATCATCATCATCATCATCATCATCATCAGCATCATCATCATCATCATCATCATCATCATCATCATCATCAGCAGCATCATCATCATCATCATCATCATTAACCTCAGCAGCAGCAGCGTCATCACCATCATCATCAGCATAAGCAGTATCATCAACAGCAAAAGCAGCTCCTCATCGTCATCATCATCACCACCATCATCATCATCTTCATCGTCAGCATCATCATCTGCCCACGTCTCCTCATCAACATCATCATGCTTCTCCACTGGATCCTCCTCCATCCTCACCCTCCCGAGGTATGACGCCTTACCCAGCCCTAGATTCCACGGCATGCTAATCCACATCCCTGATCAGGGCAAATCGTCTGAGTATCGTTTCTGGATGGGCTTGTGGGGTTACGCGAAGCGCCTAGGATTTACCTCTCTCCCATGGAAATGCCAAACCACATCTGGGCTAGCGCTCGGATCTTTAGACTGAGTGATGAACTTATCAACCACGCTCGGCCACGTCTGCTTCAAAAAAAGAAAAGGGAAAGCAAACGTCCAATCGGCCATGCCAAAATCCCGCTTCTGTTCGTAACTAATCTCTGAAATTGAAAGCAATTGCCAAGGAAACGGCTCGAACACGGCAACATCTGGTCGGATTCGAACGACAATGTCATAAGGACCCGATCTCTCGACTTGCTGAAAGGCATGGTCCATCCAGAGAACTTGCATCAAATGCCCGTTTGCAGATT